CGGCTGGCTGAAAGCAGGTATCTGGGGTTTGTTTAGATTCTATAATTGAAACTCTGTTGCTTTTGGAGCTGTTGCTTTTGGAGCTTAGAGCAGGCTGGGGCAGGCGGGAAACCTTGGCTTCCTCCATCACTGGAGCAAGCAAGCCTCCTGCTCGCTTCAGCTGCGTGGCTGCTGGCCATCTTTGTTGGCAGTTAATTTGCATATCTCGCTGATTAGCCAATGGGAAGCGTAGCGGAGGTACGGTTAATTACCCTTTTTGACTTTTATTAGATAGGATATATATTATTTCAGAGAGGAAGGGAGAGAGAGAGCGATAGAAATATCAGTGATGAGAGAGAACCCATTGATCGGCTGCCTCCTACACGCGCCACACTGAGGATCGAGCCCGAAACCCAGACATGTGCCCTGACCGGGAATCGAACCATGACCTCCTGGTTCATAGGTTGACGCTCAACCACTGAGCCACACCAGCAGGACAATACAGGAAATCTTATTATGATGTTTCCCAATGAAATCAGATGAGGAAATGAAAGATAACGTGTAGCATGTAGGATTCAAGGGACTTGCTAAACAATGACAGTTATGACATAGGTATTAAAGGAGCACAGAAAAACTTATGCTAAAACTGCACTTCCACCTCCTTTTATACGTACTGTCATGCCTTAGAAGGAGGAAGTTAGGAAAGTTCAGGAAGTTCTTTCCTAAAGAATTCAGCAGCTGTATAAGAAAACATTTTTAAAGTGTTAAGATCATTACAATGATTTCTGAGTAGCTGGTACTCAAGAAGCTGGGGTAGTAATGCCCATTTCAATTCGAGCATTAAGCCAAGAGGCTTACAAGTAAACTATAAACAGTGTGATAACTGATAGGCCAAAAATTCCAGGAACTGCTGAGTCAGTAGAGTGTTTTTTCAAGACATCTGGCCCAAGAAAATCCACTTGGAGCACAAGGGGAGCTAGCTGACAATTTCTGAACCCTGGCTGATTACACTGGAAAGCTTGGGGGAAGGGTCCAAAGCAAAAAAAAACATGGGGGTTGGGGAATACTCTTGGCCCTTGGACTGTAAGCTACATGTCAACAAGACCTGGGATGCTTTGGGCCCCAGAAAAGGCAAACTGTGAGAGACATATAGAGTGCGGCAGGCCAATATTGGGGGGGGTCGGAGCCAGGGTGAGGGATACCTTACATGTTCAGCCAGCTGAGGGCAAAGGGGAAGCACGTGTCAGCCACCCAGGTGGGGTAAGAGGAACAGGATTCAGGGCCAGTGCCCCTAAGGGGGGTGTGGAACTTTCCTCCTGGATATATCCATGACTAATGGGACATCCGCCTAGGCCCACTAGGCAGTGCCTCCTCCTAGAGCAGCGGTTCTCAACCTGTGGGTCGCGACCCCTTTGGGGGTTGAACGACCCTTTCACAGGGGTTGCCTAAGACCATCCTGCATATCAGATATTTACATTATGATTTGTAATAGTAGCAAAATTACAATTATGAAGTAGCAACGAAAATAATTTTATGGTTGGGTCACAACATGAGGAACTGTATTTAAAGGGCCAGAAGGTTGAGAACCACTGTGAGTGTACTGAAAAGTGGCCTGGAGCTGCTGGGCCACTTCTTACTGATGACCCCCACCCAGCAAGTCACTGCACCACTGAGCCTCATGCTGCCTGTCCTGCAGAGTGGGTGTCAGACTTCTCAGGACTGTGCTGAAATTAAACACTGATTCATGTAAGACTTAGCCAGGTGCCTGGCCAACCATTAGGTGTCATATTTGAACAGTTGTTCTCTCCTCCATTCTCCTTGCTAACATGGGATGAAGATTCCTTCCTGTTTCTCATCCACTTAAAGATTCTATCAAGTTTCTGAAGATTGGTTGTACAATCTCATTACACTTTGGCCTTCCCCCTCCCCCACCATCTGTAGCACCCCCTCTATCCTGCCCCCAACCCAACACCTCCTCTTGGGCCCCTCTCCCCTTGTGCATAAAGTCCAATGTTCTTCTCCCCACCCTGTAGACTCACACCATCTTCTCACTCCTGGGAGTGGACCATGCTTACGTCACCAGTATTGGCAGACTCATTGGGATCGTTACCCTAAAGGAGGTAAGATGACAGTGGCTGTCAAAGCCACTTCCACTTCCAAAAAGGCATGGAAGCTTATGCCCAGCTCACCTGGGGGGAAGGGCTGGAGAGTACGAGCAGGGAGCCCAGACTGACCCTCTCACCTTTCCAGCTCCGGAAGGCTATTGAGGGCTCTGTCACAGCACAGGGCGTGAAGGTCCGGCCGCCCCTCGCCAGCTTCCGTGACAGTGCCACCAGCAGCAGCGACACAGAGACGACGGAGGTGCATGCACTCTGGGGGCCCCGCTCCCGCCACAGCCTCCCCGGGGAGGGCAGCCCTTCTGACAGCGATGACAAGTGCCAGTGAATTCCTCAGCAGGCAGCCTGGGGTGGCAGTGGCCTTGCTGTCAGCCCGGATCCTACAGCTCTCCTGTCCCTTCTGCCGTGGGAAAGCAGGAGGCAGCTACAGCCAAAGGTTGGGGCCCCAGCCCCCCGTCCAGACCAGGGGCACCAGCCTCTTCCAGTTCCTCTACTTGGAATCTGACACAGCACCCACCTGCAGTGTTCCAAGGGCAGGAAGATCAGCACTGCCCTGGCGGGATGGGGATGGGGCGGGGTACCTGACCCCTGCTGCCCCTTTGAGGGGGAAAGGGGTAGAACTAAGATGGGTTTATACTGGAACCTCCAATGACCAGATGTATATAGAGATTTACAAAGATTTTTATATTAATTTAATAAAACAAATTCTTAAATAGAACAAAATAAACACCTAATGAGCCACTTATATAGAGAATGCCTGTGCCCATCAGCTCGTGTTCTTACCTTGGGCCCTCTTACCTGCCAAAGCCTACAAGGCCTGAAATCTAGCCACCTACACCCCATGGCCATAAAACTCCAGAGCCTGCTGTCCATGGAGTGTAGGATCTGCAGAGGCCTCCACTGCTTGGCCATCAACACCCTGGCTGCCCCCAGTACTGTAGCTTCGGCCTTTCCTTCAGCCAAAAAGGCACTGCCCTCCTTCCTCCCCAAGGAGAGGCACTCCCTCAAGACTGTCACCGGTTGGCACAATTCCTGCCCTGCTCAGGGCCACCCGTGTGGCCCCCTGGTGGCCCTCTCTGGAAGAACATCGAAGTCCCAGCTCTGTAGCAACCAGAGCCCTGTCCTCTTCCAACTCCACCCTACAGCAACCTGGTGGGCTGGGAGCCACCGGGGCCCTGCCCACACATCCTACAAGGGACTGGGAAAGGGCCCAGACCCTTTCAGAGCGGCCAGGAAAAGGGTGGGGGTGCACGCTTTCATCATTCCAATGCCTCCCAGAGAAGATCCGACTGAAAGAACAGACCAAAACCCCTCTTTCTTTACAAAAAAGATTTAGAGACAATGGAGAGGTGTAGCACAGGATGAGCCCAGCTGGGAAAGGGACCTGGGGGACGGCTCAATCCGTAGGCTCCCTGGGTGGGGGTGATTCTATCAAGCACGGTACACGGACTTGGAGGTGAGGAGAGAAGCAGAGGAGAGAGGCGGGGGGAGGGGCAGGGGAGGCCGGGCTCCCTCCCATTCTATCCCACATAGCCCAGTCATAACTGCCCCCTCAGAGGTTCACATCATCAGAGGAGGAAATATGTGGCGTTTTTGATTTAAGAACATGAACATCACTCAGCCACTGCTGTAGCCATGCCCCAGGGGCCCCGGGCAACCCCCGGCAAGCCCCAGGAGTGGGGGCTGGACATGCGCCCCCAGCCTGGTCCCTGCCTCCTCTCTAGACACTTTCATGCAAAACACACAATGAGGAGTGAGTGCTCCCAGGAGCCCCCCAGGCTTTGGAGCTCTGCTGGAAGCCTCCAGCCCACAACTGGGCACAGCGGCCATGCCACCGCCAGGCATGATCTGCGTCACTGTTCCTCTGGCTCCACCTCATCCTCCTCCAAGGACACCACCCCAGAAGAAGCCACGTCAGAGGCTTGCGGCTGGCGTTCCCAGCTGCCCACCGGTGGGCAGAGCGGCTGGCAGTCCTCGCAGGGGGCGGGCTCCACCTCGGCGGGGGAAAGGCAGGACTCTGTGTGGGGCGAGTTGTAGGGCAAGTCCTGGGCCTCCAAGGGGCCCAGGCTGCGGAAGGCACTTTCCCGGCTGGGGGGCAGTTTGGCAAGAAGCAGCTCTTCACCCAGCAGCTGGGAGGCCAGGTGGGCCGGGGAGCCCAGCAACCCGTCCTCCAGGCTGCACAGACTGGAGCACAGGGTCTCTGGGGACACTGTCTGCGAGCAGTCGCTCTCCGGCTCCACGGAGCCCTGGCGCACAGGCCGGGAAAATCGGTGGCCAGAGAAGAGGTCCTGGAGGTGGGGTCCCAGGGGCAGCTGCCCAGCCATGTCTGTCGGGGGAGAGAAAAGGAGAAGATAACCCTGCTAGCCCCATCTCAATTGGCCAACCTGGAAGCCACATCTCCCCACTTGGTACAGCTCTAGGGATGGGGGGTCGGACCCAGGGAACTTCAGGCAAGTCACTTAACCTCTCTGCCTCAATTTCCTTAATGGTGAACTGGGGATTCTTACAGACCTACGTTATGGGGTTGCTGGGAGAACAGTCTGGCACACAGTAAGAAAGCAATAAACGCAGGGATACCCTATATGTCGTGCAGGCTGTTCACTGCCCAGGGGGAGTGTGTCCAAGGCAGTAAGTGAAATTCAGACCACACTCTGCTCACCAAGCAGCATGCCCTGGCATGGGGCTGTGCCCACCAGGAAAAGGAGAACTTTTTTCAAATTTGCACAATGATTCCGCATGGGCTAGTAGTGGCCTTGGATAAATGCAGCTGTTTTCATTATACCAGGGGTCAAAGCAGGCCTGGAACTCAACCAAACAAAAACATTGTGGTTCGGGTCTGTCTTCGTCTCGGTCATCCCAATCAGTCCTCTCTGGACCACAGCAGCAGTCTCAGCTGCTTTAATGTACTGCCCACTTCAGAGAATGTTCATTAGCTAAAGGGATGAGGCATGTGGACGCAATCTTCAAAGACAAAGGGGTGGAAGGGGGATGGTGGTCTGGGAGGCTTGAGCCCAGAAGCTACAGAGAAAGTCAGCCATTTGGTCCCGAGAATGGAAGATGAAAGGAGGGCCTTGCACAGCTGCACAGCCCCACGGGGTCCCTTCTGCAAGCACCAGCGGAGAGCAAGGCCCACTAGCCTGGAATGCGAGGACGCTAGGCTGGAGCCAAGCAGCCCTGTGGGCAGTCCCGGCTCAGCAAGCTTCCTGTTTGCCTGCGCCACAGCCCCATGAGGTGCTGTGGCTGCTGCACTGTGCGTCTGTGCTGCCTCGGCCAGCCAGGAGGCTGTCTTGAGAGGACTTTCAGAGGCAAGGCACGGCAGACCCTCCCAGAGAGACAACATGGCTGCACAGAAGGTGCTGGCGAGGTCTCCGGCTTTTTTTTTTGAGGGCCGCAAGGCCCAACTGCATAGATGGGCAGAGAAAGGAACTACTCCATTTCCACCTGCTGACTGCCCACCCACGAGAGTGGACAGCCCTCCTGCCCATGGAAAGTCGAGGATTACCTGGACAGAGTCTGCCTCTCTCCACTCTCCTTCCAAAGGCTGAGGACATTCTGGATCGCTCCTGCCCATGGAAAGTCGAGGATTACCTGGACAGAGCCTGCCTCTCCTTCCAAAGGCTGAGGACATTCTGGATCTCCCCTTCCAAAGGCTGAGCTCTGAATCACAGGGCCTATCAGGCAGTTTCACCCCAGTTGGCAGTACTAGTACGGAATGTCCCCTCACCTGAGTCAGTTCCCCCAGCAAAGTCCTCATCATAGGATTCATCGGTCGAGTCCTCACCATCCACTGAAGACCATGCCCGGAGCTTGGCTTCTGCAATGGCAAACTGCTCAGCCACTCCTGTTGGGGAAGACATGGAATTCATTAGCAGAAGTGAACTAAGGTTAGGGCTCAGCTTGGAGACAGGAGAGGGAAGACACATGGGTGTGGAAAGACTCCAAACCCCACATCAGGCCCAAGGAGATGAGAGAGAATATCCCTAGGACAAATGTGTGGCTGATTCTCTTTCTGTCACTCACCTGCCGCAAAGCGAGCCTCTTGCTCACCCTCACTGAGATCCGAGTAGGAGGAAAAGGCTGATTCCAGGGCAGCAGGAGAGTCGCTTGGCTTGCTCCAGCCCTTCCATTCAATAAGGTGAGCCACTCGACCCTGGGCCATGGCAGTGGGCTTGGTCACGTGGTCCTTCACCACCTGGGAAATACCTAGAGGTGGGGCAGAGTCAGAAAGCCTGGTAAGAGCATAGGTCAGAGAACATCTGGGAGGGAAGTGTAAGGGTGGTGGTAGTGAGGGTCCACATGTGCCTTTGGCAGGGCAAGGGGCAGGGATTCACCTGAGAAAGAGGAAAAGGGAGATAGCAAATAGGAGCTCAAAGGATACAATCCCCAAGGGCATGTAAAAAAGTTCCAAATGGCCAGAGGCATGGGAAGGGGTTCATACCATGCAGGGAGGATCTGGCCAGTGCAGCGATCTCCTGGATAGTTAGGGCTCTCCGGGACTTGGGCAGCATCGCGACAGTGTCTCCAACATTCACCTTGGGTGACAGAATTAGAGGGTGAGTGCTCCTCTGACAGCAGTGTCCTCCCACATGCCCATACCCCACCCAAGGCATCAAGGGGATATGGGAGCTGGGAAGAGATGACAGGGCAACACATGTTTCCCAAAGGCTGATGAGATATGTAAGAAGGTAAGAAGCCAGGACCAGCAAATTATGCCCCCCACCCCCCCACCCCCAGGGAGCAATGGAGACGTGGGCAGACCAAAGGAGAACTACAGCTAACCCTCTGCCTTCCAAGCTCCCAGAGGAGAAGAAGACAGTTCTGGAAGAACATGGAGTAGGGTCTTTGAGAAAAGAGGAAAGGAGAAGGATATAACATCCAGGTCCCCTTCCTTTTACCCCTCTTCTCCTCTGTCTTCAGACCCACATTCTAACTGTTTCTGGAGCCTATCACAGCCACAAACTCGCAATGACCAAAAACAAACCCAACACCTTCTCCCCATATCTGGCCCTCACTTTGCATCATCCCACCATTCTCCAATTCAGCCTGGCTCCCAACCTCAGCATTGCCACCAACTCCCACATAAGCTTTCCCTACGCACATCTGTTGTTAAGACCTAATGATTCCATCTCCAAACTGCCTCTAATACTACCCTCATCCTTTGCAAATGCTCCTTGCCCAGGTTAGCATAGTGGTAGTCCCCCAAGCTCCTCTGACTCCATGCTATTTTCTCAGCCTCCTATGTTGTGTAAGTGTTCTCCTTCCCCTTTCCATGTCTGGCTGGCTCTTTCTCATCTTTTGGGTCTTGGCTGAAATATCACTCCCTCAGAGAAGGCTTCCTGGCCACCCTACTAGTTGTCTACCCTCCCTCTGCAGTCTGTAACAAGTCACCATCCTCTTCTATCAATGTATCTTGGGTGTGTAATTATGGTCTATTTTATGTGTTTCCTTATTTCTTGTTGGTCTCCCTCACTGGTCTTAAGCTCTTTCAGAAATTCGGTCTCTTTTGGTCACTGCCGCACGCCAGTGTTTAGCACAATGCCTGGTACAGAGCAATCTCTCAAAATACATAGGCCGAATGAACAAGGCAATGTATAAATGTACCCCATTTTCCTGGGGTGCCACTGGTCACCACATGTCCTTATTTAAAATCTTTCCTGGGCCCCTTCACTGTCCAATGAAGTGCAAGCTCACAGCCAGGCACTGAAGGACTCTGTGAGGCCCTGCCTCCTACCAGGCCTGCTTGGAATCCACCACTGATCTCCTCTGCCCAGTAAAACCCCACTTCTCACTTTCCCTGTCAGCAGGCAGCCTCCTGCCTTCCTCCAGGCAAAGAAACCCAGCTTTTCCCTGGGCAAAGAATGCCATCTTTGCCTGACAAATGCTCCCTACCGTTCAAGGCCTGACTCAAGTGCCACCTCTTACTGTGTTTTCAGTCCTTTTCCCATCCCCAGCATCACCCTTGCATCTCTCCTGAGGGATGTCAGGATGGCAGGGCCTGAGTCTGATTCACCTGGGTTCCTACCTCCACCCTGCACCTGGCTCTGCTCCTTGGCAAGCCCAGGCAAATGTTTCCCTCAGCAAATGAATGAAGCCAGAGGTACAGGCACCCTCTCTGGCATTGCCTAGCTCTACTCCATCAGTTCCCACCCCTCACAAGAGGGGCTCCACCTGCCCCTTGACCTCAGGCCCACCCCCTCTGTCCCTCCCCTTCAGTACCTGGCTGACAAGGCCCCCAGGGTGGCGCCGGTAGCCTCTGGCCAGGCCTGGAGGGAGGAGCACCTGCTGGGTGTTTCCTGGCTCGCTCTCCCTCCCTCCCCTCACTCCCCCCAGCCGCCACCATCCGTGCCAGCACTCCGCGCAGCTGCGGCCCAGGCCCAGAGAAAAGGTGTACGTCTCCCTGGCAACCCATCACCATGCAACAGGGTCTCCCGGGATATGGCCCGGGATGCGCTGACGTCAGCGCCGAAGGCGCGAGCAGCCCGCCCGCCGG